ATAGGATACGCAAGTATATATTGGTGATAGAGTTCATTAGCTAGGTTACGGCTTTGGGGATTTCAGATTGCTATCGAGCTTAAGTGGTCAAAGCTGCGATTTTAAGTGAGCAAGTGGTGAGGTCTGTCTCGACCACAGTGCATTTGGGTAGATTAAGAATTGGTCCGTCTCAAGTCAAGTTTGTGACGTTGAGTAAATCGGATTAAACAGATCTTATAGGATTATTTAAGTGATTCTTAATAAATCAAGTTAGTTTTCTTGGATTTGGTAAGTGACTCTTTTGTGGTGCCCATACGAGATTTCAAACTTTCCATTCCTCCTTGCTTATTTTACCGTCTTTGTCAGAATCTGCATCAGCAAACGTCTAGCAAGAACCAAATTAGATTTTTAAAAAAATGTCAAAAAACCAATCTCCTAATTAATTGAGATTCCCCAACAAGTCCACTCACTTTATCAATGATCATGGTCAAAAGTTCATCGGAAAGAATCATTTTCAGATTCCATCAAAATAGCAGCCACCATTTGATACACCTAAACATTAACAACTTGATATTAACCTCAAACACACAGTTTCAAGTTGCAATGGCAGATTGATTATTTACCTCTTCTCGCTCAATAAATCCGGTTTGTCGTAAATCATAGAGTCTAAATGCAACTGCCACAGATTATCAACATATGCTTCAGACTCATCCAATATCATTAGTAGGAGACTGAATATTTGCTGCTACGATCCTTACAGTCAATCTTCTCCTCGATTGGTGCATAGGGATGAAACACACTCAACGCATAGATAAATTCCTCAAACTCTATAACCCCATTCTTCTTTTCATCAAACAAATCAAAAACCTACCAAAAAAAACATTCATCTAAAAAAAGGTCCAAGAAACCATAAAAAAAAAAGAACACACAACACACTCACCCTATCAAGAAAGAGGTTCTCACCATGTGGAGCTTGGAAAAGCGCTAGCTGAAGCTCTTCCTACAAAATCCATATCCTTATAATCATCGACAAGATCGATCAACTTAAACGTATTTACAAGAAAAGAACATACCTTGTGAATCAAGCCATCATCAATAATTGAACAACTCAGTTTCTTGAATAACTCATACAATGCTTCAACTTCATTAACTGAAACTGCAAAAATACACATTCAAACCCCAAAGGTTAAAAACTTTAAACTCCCAAACAAAAAAAACTTGAAAACCCATTGATAAAAAAGAAGAAAACCCACAAGGAGAATCAACGGCAAGAAGAGCAAGATTCACGTGCTGACATATCTGAGGCAATGGGCTGCGGCTGCGGCAATCGAAGCATTGTCCAACGGTGGAGAAGAAGAAGTCAATAATGGCAAAGAAAGGTATGAAGACGGCGCAGAGTTGCTCTCCAACTGTAAGAGAGCTTGATCTCTGCTTTTATTTTTATTTTAATTTCCAAAGGAAGATGAAGACACAAAAACGATTACTAAACAAAAATTAAGAGAAGAAAGGAGAAAAATAAAAACAAAATGTGTTTTCTTTCGGAGATATTTACAGAGGAAAGTCCCGCCCAGTCCATGACTCAATGGTTATTACAATGCTAAATCTTCACTTCGATCCAATAAGGTGACAAGGTGGTTTGTCTTCCATCCTCTCGTTTCCAGTTTACCTGGTTATCTCAAACATGTGTTTGGTTGGTCCCCCCGACATTTGTAGTTTTTGTCATATTGCGTGTAGACTTATATTTTATTAAAATAAATATATTACACTATATAGTTTATATTTTTATAAAAGTATTGTTTATTTTCTTTTCAACAAAGTTCTAACATATATATAATGTTAATTACATGAATCTATATTTATTTATATTTATTTATAGATGCTATTAAAATTTTTTATTGGTTTAAAATTTTTAGATTATAATTCAATTTAATATGCTTATACTAATTTAAATATATATATATATACATAAATTATTTGCAATTATAAACACGTACAATTTCATATATTTAAAAACAATTAAAAGAATCAAACACATTTAAACTTAATCATTTACAAAACTAATATGATAAACTATAATAATGAATATGATAATCTTAATTTATTTAAAGCTATGTTAAAATATATGTATAATCAAAATATGATTACATAGTAACTTTAAGAGATTATTTTTCATGTATTTCTTGTAATATACGTCTTTATTAATTTTATTTGTAAGGCAGAGCAATCGTTCATGTATTATTATCAGCAAAATTCAATAAAAAAAAAGAAAAATAAATTTCAAGCACTTATACAACCATTGCACTTGTTCGTTTATGTGTCAAAGTTTATAAAACCTTAAACTAACAACAAACAATATTCCATATTTACAAAAATAAAATGAAATTTCTAGAAACTTAAATGTCAGAATGCAACATTTTCAGATACCGTGCTTATATACATGGTTATGAATGTACACTTAAACAAATGTATTATGTTTAAGCAACATGATTCTTTACTTTCTAATCCAACATCAAATTTCCTAAATACATGTAAATCATCAATTTATGCATAAAACGTTAATTATGTCAACCTTAAACTTGTATCAGGAACAATCATTATAACATATGTAACCTAAGTGTCACTATCAAACTTTCTTATATAATCAGTGTTTGAAATTATAGGAGATGAATTATGTACTCATAGAATAAAGATAATCATAAATAGAGTTTTGTTAGAAGAACTTTTATTCTTCACTACTTTTTAGATTAGTGATTGTTTTACTTGGAGAATTCATGGACATATACTATTTATAGATTTTCAAATTTCTATATGAATAATTACAATTTTCAAGTTAAAATTAGTTATTTTAATGAATAATTATAATTTTCAAATTTTTGGTAGTCAATAGTCACATTTTTCAAGTTAATTAGTTATTTTTATGAATAATCACAACTTTCATATTAAAGATAGTGAATATTCACAATTTTTCAAATTTAAGTTAATTATTTTTATGAATAATCACAACTATCCAATTATAGATAATTATTTTAAATGATATAAAACATTATATATTTGAATAGACATATCATTCCAAAAAAACACATTTCTTTATAAAGATTAACTATTTTAAAATAACTAAAATTTAAATAGATGCACTATTTCAAAAAAACAGTTGTATTACATATAAACATCTTAGGTATTATTTAAAATCTAATTTTTCTTTATAATAAAAAGATATAACATTTCATAGATGGGATTCATAACTGTTGAAATGTATTAGGATTGTTGTTATTAATAGATTTGTTCGTTTGGGCTTGATTTCCCCTTTTATGGGTTTTGGACTCCATTATGGGCTTGATTTCCTTTTTGTTGCTTCAGACTCCTATTCTATCTTATTTTTGTATTTTGCGTATAGAAAAAATAAGACCTGTAAATCTAGACAAGTTGAGTTCGAATAGGATAGTTTCAGATGTGCATAGTCTAGGACTAATAGAGTTAATCATTATTAACAAGTATAATAAGACGTTACATAACACGACACATTGAACCAAAAGAATACAAGATTCGATAAGAAAAGAACAATCAAAGAAAATGCCAAAACTTGATAGATATTTTTCTTTTGTGAATATTTAAGTACAAATTAATAAAATAAAAATACGTAAAATGGAAATGAGATTTGATGGCACAACACAAAGACAGGAGTGGTGAGAAAAGAAAGAAGAAAAAAGCAATAACCCCAATGGATCACACATCTCATCAATTCTCCTTAAATGGCTATAAAAAGATCTCACCTCTCTTTACTTTTTTCCCTCTTTCTTCTGATTTCTGATTACTGAAACCAGCACAAGAATACAAAAAACTTATAATTATTATTTTATAAATCAAATTATATAATTTTGTCTAGACACACCATTCATATATATATAGGGACATGCAAATAGTAAAAATGTAGGGTCTCTTCCCTAATTTAAAGCCTGCAACAGAAATGAGTGCACTTCTCTGTAGTTAACAGTAACACACATCTGCCTTCTTCATGTCTTTGGATTTGGTTTTAAGTTTTAACTATATATTTCTTGAGATAACATTACGTTCTATGATCAACATTTTTTTAACAGAGAGAATTATACAATAAGTAATTTGCATAAGATTTGATTCTTGTTTATCTTTTTCATTGTTTTGTGTCAGAAGATCTTATAAATATATGAAAATGGATTTCATGACATAAACAGAGAAAGCTCCGTACATGAGCTGGCCCTCCTTCTTTTCCACATCTCTGTCTCTTGTGCTAATTCGTTTTTTTTTTTACTTTCCCTGAGAGATAGTTTTATTTATTATTACAAAAAGAAATAATGCTGCATATATGTTGGTCTAGCTAGTGCTCTGAATCTTTTAGTGAGGCAGATGATGAAGGTAAATATACTGATTTTTTTTCATGAAAATGTATAAAGTAAGGAGAAGATCATAACTTTTTGTATTGTTCATGTTCATGCAAAAGAGATTAAATCAGACTCACTTTTCTCTTTTTCAGTTTTGTTGTATCATCTTTTTCTTTTACTTATAACGAATGATATAATAATTTTATTGTTGATTTCTCCTTTTTGGCTCTCTTTAGGAACATAGAGAAGCTGAGGAGTGAAAGAAGGTACAGTGTTCTTTCATATATAAAGAAGAGAAACGAACACTTCCTTCTTATTCAGTTTTAACACACATTTTGGAAAATTTTAATGTAAGAGTTCCTCTTTGCAACGGTTTGTTCTCTGGGATCTTCCCAGTGGTTCTATCAGAAGAAGAAGGATAAAGGTAAGTTCAACACTTTTAATGTTCTATGGACTTTTGTAGTAATCTAAAGGTTTCTTTTTTGTTTAACTAGGTTACTGTTTTCACAGATATCTTATTACTGGTCTATGCATCATTGAGCCTACACACTGCTTTTCATTAATTCATTGTTCAGTTATAATTTACCTATATTTTTTAAAAAATTACATAATGAAACATTAATGACATACTTCTTGCATTGAAGTTCTCTGTCTCTTGCAGCATTTTACATTTAGTTTCTGAGATCTTCTGAATATTCTTTGTCTGAGTCTTGAATACTTCTCTTTTTGTTAATGCAGTTTCATTAGAAACACAATGGACAACAACAACACTTTTAGTTCTCTAGATAATGTCATGAGTAACCAAAATAATCTGCTCATGGATTTGATACCTTCAAGAGAAGATTCCACTTCATTTTCAACAATGCTTCCATGGAATTCCATGAGACCAGATCCCCTACAAATGGGTGGATTTGATATCTTCAATTCTTTTCTCACTAATAAGTACTTATCATCTACTTCAAGCTCTATAAATGTTCAAGAAACCCGCCATATCGAAAGCTTTGAGGCCATGGCTCCTCCTCCTCTTCCTCTTCCTCCATTTCATCATTTGGATCATTTAAGACCATATGATGATTCCTCAAACAACATGTGGAATCTTGGAGAAAATAGTGGATTTCATGCATATTCATGTGCACAAGATGTTGTTGGTCCTAGTGAACCAATAACATCTACATTTGCTGAAGAAGATGTTTCTGATGAGTGCTCAGAGATAAGTCCTTATGCTGCTGCTAAATCTACTAAAATAACCTCAGAGCAAGCTTCTTCCAGCAGCAAAGACATTTATAATAATGTCTCTCAAGTTATCTTTGGCTCAAAGTACCTTCACTCTGTTCAAGAAATACTATCTCATTTCGCCACACACTCCCTCAACAACTTAGAGAATAATCCTCAATGCTATCTTTCATCTCAAGAAACTGAGTCATGTGCTGCTGATTCAGCTTTTACTTCACGTTTTGAGAATCAAACCGAGTTTCTTGAAGGAGGTTTTGATCAAAGACGAGCATTAGAAGCAAAGAAAACTCATCTCTTAGATCTTCTCCAAATGGTATATATACATTCACACATATTTACATAACCTAGAGAATTATTTTGATTTACTTAAGTTTTTGAGTTGATGTTTTCTCTTCAGGTTGATGATAGATATAGTCATTGCGTTGATGAGATTCATACGGTTGTATCAGCATTCCATGCAGCAACCGAGTTGGATCCTCAGCTACACACCCGGTTTGCACTCCAAACCATCTCATTCCTATACAAGAACCTGAGAGAGAGAATCAGCAAGAAGATACTTATGATGGGATCAGTTTTGGAAAGAGGAAAAGAGAAGTCTCAAGAAGACTCAATCATCCACCAGCATTGCCTTCTTCAGCAGCTAAAACATAAGAACCATCAGATTTGGAAACCACAAAGAGGCTTGCCTGAGAAATCAGTCTCGGTTCTAAGAACTTGGATGTTCCAAAACTTTCTTCACCCGTAAGAATCTTTTTAGTCTTTACTAATAAGTCTAAGTTATGATGACAATGTTGGCTAGAAATATTGTTAAGCTTGTGATATTGATGCATCTTCTTGATTGTAGTTACCCACAAGATTCAGAGAAACATCTTCTTGCTATACGAAGTGGATTAACAAGAAGTCAGGTAATGCATCTTCTCTCCAAATATGTCTAGATATAGATTTTGAGGACATCTCCAACCATAAACACTATTTTAATGTCAAACCCCACACTATTTTAGTGTAGTTTCAACACTAAACACTATTTCAACACTAAAAAAAGTTATTTTCCAACCATGATACGAAATTTTATACTAAAACATTTTTATAATATTATATTTATTTATTTTCTTAATTGTTATTTATTTAACTATATACTTTATTAATAAAATAAAGGGAATAGTGTTTTAGTGGGATAAATAGTGTTTTAATGTTTTGAATAGTTGAAATTTTAGTGTTACACTAAAATAATGTGATTTTTGCAGTTGGATTTGAGAAGTTTCAGTGTATAAATCACACTAAAATAGAGTTTTGTAATTGGGTTGGAGATGATAAAAAAACTTAAAAATTTATTAAATATTTTAATAATCGTTTTTAAAATAACAAATTGGGAACCTGTGTTATCCATTTAAAAAAAAAAATGGAACATAAAGAATGTTTCACTTGGATGTGTTCATGAAGGGTTTTGGATATAGTTTAACTCAAGTCTCGAGATTTAGTCGAACGTATGTTTAGTTACTCAAACCCATGCAGCAAGTGAAGAAGTGTGTCGTGTTTGTTGTTTGTGTGTGATTTAAGGTATCAAACTGGTTTATAAATGCACGGGTTAGGTTATGGAAGCCAATGATAGAAGAGATGTACGCAGAAATGAACAAGAGGAAGCTGAATCACACTCACCTTCAAGGCAATGAAGGAAGTCATAGGATACCAAAGTCCATATATAATGATGAGCCAAGAAAGAGACAAATAAGAGAATGAGTATGTGGTAACTTGTAACGCAATCGCTACTATGATTGTCACTTTGTCACACAAACTACGTATTATGATTGTTTTATGTTATAATTTTGTATATAGAACTTCTCTTTTATCTCAACTATATTTTTTGGCATTTTAAACATTATCATCATCTTAAATAAAAACTAGAGAAATTCTCTTAGATAAATATTTTTAGTTTATTTTTACAAAATAGCATTCAAGAAAGAAAATAATTAAAATAAATTTTTATTAAATGGTAAATATGCACTTATACTTTTGGATTAACTAATCTAGATTTATAGTTTATATAATTAAGTGTTTAGGATTTCAAATTTTTAAAAATTAAAAATAATATTATAAAATTAAAAAAGAATATTTTAGTAAGTTTATTTTTGAGGACTATTTTTTTGATAAAAACTTAAAAATACTATTTGAGAGAATTGACCTTATAAACAATGTTGTAAAACATACCCTTAAATTTAGACGTAATAATTAAAAAAAAAAACATAAAATTTCACAAACGACATCGTATTGAGGTTTGACTAATTATTACGAATTAAAAACGCAGCGTTTTACTTGTTCACCTCTCATACAAACAACTCGAAAAGTAAAACAGAGACAAAGTTCGAGTTTCTGTCGGAACCAACAACCGCGAATGGAGCAAGACAGAGAGGTCGCGATCGGAGGCGGAGCGTCACGATACGCGCTGAAACCAAAGCGTATAAACAGCGAAGACATACTAATCTGCGTGGATGTGGATGCGGAGTCGATGGTGGAGATGAAGACGACGGGAACTAACGGGAGGCCTTTGACGAGGATGGAGTGTGTGAAGCAAGCCATCATTCTCTTTATCCACAATAAGCTCTCTATTAACTCAGATCATCGCTTTGCCTTCGCTACACTCTCCAAATCAGCTGCTTGGGTATGTGATTTTGAGGGTTTGTTTGGATTCGTTAGCTTGAATAGTAAAGTTTTGGTTTTTAGATGGAAAAAGTTGAGTTTTTTATGTTGGGTGGAGATTAAAGTTTGCAACTTTACATGGATTCAGTTAGATTTTGTGTAATAATGAGAAGCTATATAGTTTTAGCATGGTCCTTAAAGTTCTGATTTTTTTTTTTTTTTTTTTTTTATCTTTCTTAAAGTTTTGATTTTGAGATGAAAAGGTTGAATTCTTGATGTTGGGTGGAGATATATGGATTCAGTTAGATTTGAAAGAAGTTGTGTTTCTGTATAATGAGAAGATATATAGTTTTAGCATGGTCTCGTAAAGTTTTGATTTTTAGATTAAAAAGTTGAATTCTTGATGTTTATGGGGAGATAAAGTTTGCAGCTTTACATGGATTCAGTTAGATATTGAAGAAGAAGTTGTGTTTGTGTGTAATGAGAAGCTATATAGTTTTAGCATGGTCTCGTAAAGTTTTGATTTTTAGATTAAAAAGTTGAATTCATTATATGGATTCAGTTAGATATGAAAGAAGAAGAGGAAGAAGTTGTGTTTGTGTGTAATGGGATGCTATATAGTTCTAGTAATTGAAGTTTTCAGCTGGTTTTGTGTTTATGTGTTCTTGTTCATAGAGGATGGGATGTGAGGCAAATGTTTTATTTATCTTTGGTCTGCTTTGGTTTTGCTTCTCTTTGTTGGTCTTTAGGATAGCTGGACCAAGTGGAAAGTAGATGATCTCTTTTATCTATCTGGTTTTAGTTTTCTTAGCTTGGGATACTGTTTTCGTTGCGATTGGAAACTAAGTTTCTTCAGAAGTAGACTGTAAATTAGCGGTAAAGCGAACGTATTTTCAGTACTAAAAACTTAAACCGCATGCTTCTTTTTGTTGCTTGGTACTTCCCCTAGCATCCTCAACCTTAACGTGGTTTTGCCTTAGATGCATGTTCTGTTTCCTGAACACATTCTTTATCTGATTGAAACCTTGGCAATTTTGTTACCTGACAATGGTGGTCTTGTATTAGTTGTTTTAGGTTCTAAATAGTCAGAGAGAGTCGCATTTGATGCATAACATTAGCTCCATTGCTGACTATTGTGAGGGGAATAATCTCAATGTTTTGATTTTTACTGGTCACTTGTGTCATCTAAATTGAATCTTAAATGTATTTTTCCATCTAGTGACTGGTTATGTGAGAGAGAAATTCATTGTTTAGATCTTTTCTGATGAGTCTGCCATTTAAATTAAACTTGATGCCTTTTATGTTTCAGCTTAAAAAGGATTTCACAAGCGATGCCGCATCTGCTATTGCTTCTCTAAGAGGATTGTCAGCTACTAAATCCTCTGGTAGAGCAGATCTCTCACAGCTGTTCCGTGTAGCAGCTCAGGAAGCCAAAAACTCCAGAGCACAAAACCGAATCTTGAGAGTGGTAAGTTTATTTTATGCTAAACATTCTCCACCTAGCCACATCTTGAAAAGAGAAGCTATTTAACTGATCTTGTTTATATTGCTATTCAGATTCTCATATACTGCAGGTCATCCGTGAGACCAACACATGAGTGGCCACTAAAGCAGAAGCTATTCACTCTGGATGTTATGTACCTTCACGACAAACCGAGTCCTGATAACTGCCCGCAAGATGTGTACGACTCTCTTGTTGATGCTGTAGAACATGTTTCAGAGTATGAAGGTTATATCTTTGAGAGCGGTCAAGGGCTTGCAAGGTCTGTTTTCAAGCCCATGTCGATACTGTTATCTCATCCTCAACAAAGATGTGCTCAAGATGATCTCGATATCCCTAAGTCTCTTGCTAAGAAGGTGCCTGTGGTTGAAGCAGCAAGTGTTGATGATAATCAGAATCCTCAGGCCATGAGCCAGTGAGAATACTGCTTTGTATCTTTAGTTGTGACATTGTCCTAAAGTTCTGCATGTGGAAATTTTAAAGAATGTTTAAAGATCGATCAAGTAAGAAACACAAATCTTCAAATGAATATAAATGACTTTTTTTCTTAACATTCACAGCAGGGTGCAAAAATATATACTTCCACGAAATATATGTAAATTTATTTTAGTTATAAAAACATAATCTTTAGACAGCTCCTAATATATGCAAGTAATTATTTGGAAATTTTAGTGTATGGATTCAAATGTTTGAATCTGGGTGATATTAAGTCAATAATTTTATAACTTGAGTTGAAAACTATGATTATTGAGTATTAACTATGAGAAAAGTGCTGGAAAAGAATGTGAGAAATATCAAACTTTTCATCACATGTTACACACTTTAAAATCTCTTATTCTTGATGTTAATGATAATTTCTTGGTGTTGAAATTTGTAGCGAATGGATTCAAATGTTGTTTTTGAATTCAAGACGGCTTTGTGATAACAATTCAATGACTTTCTAATTGAGTTGAACTTGTGACTATTATGTATTAAAACTATGACAAACAATAAAACTAATGGAGTTTTGTATGGTGTAAAACAAACTAATAAATTCATTTGACATCAACTACATGATAAATTTTTAAGAATTGTTTTCACAAAAAAAATATATATATATATACTAAAATCTAGCTATGTATATCTAACTATATATTGTTTCATTTAAATGTCTAATAACATATAAATAATTGGAATTATGTAATTGCTCATATCTTATATCCCGTAAAGCATATCAGCAAACTTCAGTATGAAGACATATGATAAATGTTTCTGCACAAAGAAAACACATTGGTCAATGCTTGCTTGATCGGCCAACTTTCCAAAAAAAATTTGTTTTTGTTTTAGTTTCCTTGTTGATTTTTGTTTCTTATGATTAATTTGTGGTAGTTAATAAATTGATATAGTTTATAGATAATATGTGGTTCACATAACCATGAGCTCTAGGATTACAAATTGTTTCATGGTAAAGTCAACTTATTAAACAAGTTGTTTGAAAACAAATATATTTCAGAAAATGATAATTGCTATGTAGTCTCTTCTTAGTATGATATGATGACAATATTAAAAACATGATGTTAGAAAATAACATCACATTTAGTTTGGCTCATGGTTATAATTTAGTTCAGATAATTCAGTACTTATTATTTATTTCATAATTTAAACTCTGATGAAATAAAGTTTTTACATTCATTCAAAATAAAATAATAATAATAATAAGACATAACAAGCATAGATGTTTATGAATGTATGATCTAGCATTCACTCGCAACCCTGACAAATAGATTTCACAAAACTCACATTTTCAATTAAGAAAACTATTCACAAATTAATGTGTTCTGAAACCGAGACTGCAATGCATAGAAAACAAATGCGTTGGTGTAGCCTTTGCTTGAATTAATGGTTAAATTAAGCAACATTCTTGTTTATAATTTTTTCATGTATTTGTGGAGCCTCTTGTGTATAGATTTTAGTTCACCCTAGTCGTATGTCACACGCTTTTAGGAATTAGTATAACTTAAAAGTCACCTAAACATAAAATAAAGAGAATGTTGCCATGCATAGCTTAAGGATGACGATGCCAACATGTAATTGCTATTAGTTCTTTCACGATATCTCTATATAAGAATCATTGGTACGGACGGCTTATGTATTTTTTGGTATGAGAAAATACTATTTTAATAAGGCTTGACTAAATTTTAAAATTGGGAATCCAATTAATCAAAGATTGGAATCCTACAAGATGACACATCATGTGCCTCTCTAATTGATTAGCGAGGTAGTCTACGAAAACAAAACAACAAAAAATTGTTATGTTGACTTTACATCTCACAAACAAGTATCACCCACCATGCCTGAAGGATTTCGCCTGCTTATTATAATTTTGGAGACAGTTTTCATCTAACCGATAATATATTATCTTAGTGTCTTAGCTAAAATCAAATTCTAGAACTATAAATGATATATAAACCCCTTTGTTTTTTGCCACGCAAATGATATATAAACTAAATTATAAAAGTAGGTCATTTTACAGTTTAATCAAGGAAAGTGTAGCAAAATATACTCTAAATATAGTTGGTCTCAATTGGAGATCAACTAGCTCATTAATATATAAACAAATGATATACAATTATTGAATAAAAAGGATGTGAGAGTTGACGAAGTTGTATCGCTTGATATGTCCAAAAGGCCAGGAGGGGCCGGCTTAATCTGTACTTACTACTTACAAAGTACATACGTCATTTTTGTTTTTAAATACTATTATTTATAAATTTATAAAGATAACAAACATCATTGTAATTCATTTTAAACTTTGTTAAAGTTAAAAGTTTCTCTTAAAGTATATAATTGTAACATAATAATAAAGAACACACAACATATTTGCCAAACCACTTATGCATTGCAAAACCTCTGGATGACTTCTTTATAGAAAAAACCTCTGAAATGATTTACAAAGATGCTATTTCTTTTAATCTTTCTTCAAGTAATGGACTATTTTAGCTCAAAAAAGTATACGACTATACATACAAATTTACTTTCATGGTTAATTAGTTGATAAAATTTAGTTTAATACAAAGAAAAGGGTTTAATCAAGCAAACAACGACTAACAACTTAAGAGAATTCTTATGTAGACAGTATTGTGTCATATGATGAACTATTAAAGATCTGCCTGAACTATAATTACTTAATTAGGGTGAATTATGACCACTAGTTCGTCGTTATTGTCGTATATTTCATCTTAGATATTAAGAAAAGCTAGTCTTTGAGTATTGCCAACTGCCAAGGCTTTACTTGAAACTTTGGAAGATCATAAAGTTTGATTTAACTAATTAAGCATACTAATCTATTGATCTGTCTGGTTTTTATTGGGCTATGTAATCCTCAATTTCTATATTACTTTTTTTTTTAATAAAATTATTAGCAAACTTTCTTTGTTCACATATTTGGACACATGACTTTTCCTTTAATTAAGTGTATATTTGACAACAAAAATGCGAATACAATATTTTATGCGTGTAAACTTGTTGGCAATGACAAAGAACAGGAATCCCGTCGGTAAAATATATTAATAACTTGAAACTCGTATTAATATTCTGCATAAACAAATTAGTAGTTTAATCAAGATACTAATCACACGTCACGCCACCGTACCGTGTGCCCTTTCAATAGAATATTGGGATGGTCCAGATAATATTATTCAACGAAATAAGTTAACTACGTTTTTTGTAAGTTGTTATACGTTGTCAGTGCCACCAGGAGCCACATAATTTTCTTGTAAATTAGAGAAGCTATATTAAATTCTTAAATTACCATTTCAAATAATTCGGAGTATGATGAGTATCTCATTCGCAGGTCGACTCATGTGACTTATTCTTTTTATCTAATTGACGGCATCAATCTATTATCAGGAATCGTCTATATAGAATTATAAACTAATGAGTTGGTTTTAAATTATGTTTGCTTTTATTCATAGATTTCTAAACTAATGTTGCTATTTCTATGCTTAAATGATATATTTTGATGGATCAAAAAAAAAACTTTATGCTCATAAACGACTATATTTGATTTTCAAAACAGCTCTGGGTATATTATAGAATTTTTAAGTTTTTTTCACACAAATGAAAAATTCAGTTTTTTTGCTAAATTGTAAAGATCATTAAAATGTTAATGTAGGTTTGATTACAAGTGACCTTAAATCTCATTTGTTAGATAGCTATTCCGATTCTATGAACCCCAAAAAGGTTAAAAGACCACTTAAATCAAAGCTTTTCAAACCCCAGAAAATTTCAGTTTCTTGAACTGTTTCATGTTTATATACATATGATAAGAAATAAAATATTGTTTTTAACAAAAAAAAAAGAAATAAAAATATTGTATATCTACATATATATGTTAAATGTGGGTAAATGCTACATCTGAAAAAAAAATACTATTGTATAAATATTTGATTTTAGAGATGCATCTGATTGACACAAAGGTTAATTTTTAACCCAAAATTGCTATCAATAATAGAATATAGATCGACCGCCTGGAACTGAATAATTCTTTCTAATAAATGCCACAAAGTTACAAGTCATTGGGATGAATATACAAATCATATAGTAATAAATATATATATTTATATATTCCTGACTAAGATTCACAAAGTCTATATAAAGATGGGTATATGCATAAGCAAAGTCGTGTTTCAAACTCTTTCATTCTTTTGTCTCTTATATACAAAACAAAACAAAACAAAAAAAGAGCAAAGAAAAAAAACAAAACAAAAGAAAAAAATGGGATTTTGTTTTTGTTTATCCTCAGGAGGATCAACAGATAGAAATCAGATTTACGAGATAAATGATTATGGACAAGAGAATGCGGTTTTATACTCTGAACAACTTGGCGTTGCTCAAGACTTTGGCTCTGTATCATCTTTAGCTGGAGGCAAGGGCTTCAATCAAGATGCTGCCATACTCCACCTGGTATTGTTTTCAATACAATCAATACCATCTTCTTAAAACTAAGCTTATATTGAGAAATGTAAATATATGTTTGTCCAAAGCAGTTTTTCTAAGAACATGAATGAATGATAAAACTGTAGGGATATGGAACTGAAGAAGGAGCATTATGTGGAGTGTTTGATGGGCATGGAGAGAAGGGTGAGTTGGTGAGCAAGATCGTAAGAAACCAATTGCCATCTTTATTGTTAGGTCATATGAATAATCATTCAGTGACTCGAGACTGGAAACTCATCTGCGAAACTACGTGTTTGGCCATGGACAAAATAATTCTTAAACTCAAGAACACTCTTGATTTCTCTTCTTCTGGAACTGCTGCTGTTTTCGCCGTTAAACATGTAAGTTGTTACAAAACCTATAATATCCTTATAAAATTTGCATATTAAGTGATGTTTTGAATCGTTTGTTTCGGTTTTAAAGGTAAAAGTTTATTCTATTACTAAAACTTGAGATAGTTCAAATCGAAATAAAACAAGCAAGAAAAACAAATCTCTATCTGCAAACTCATTGTTTCTGCTTTAAATGTTTTGTTTACTAATGTATAGAATCATATATAGTTATAAATATTAAACTATATATATATTAAGCAACCATATTTGAACAGGGAAATCAAGTGATGGTGGCAAACCTAGGAGATTCAAGGGCTATTATGATTGGAACAAGTGAGGATGGAGAAACGGAGGTGGTTCAATTGACAAGTGATCTAAAGCCAAGTGTCCCAAGTAAGTTTGTACTACTATGGTTAAAGTGATGTTTGTAAAAAATTACTTCGCTATGGTTAATCATTTTTTTGGTTATTAATTTTTATAGGCGAAGCGGAGAGAATAAGGAAACGCAACGGAAGAGTCTTAGCATTAGAGGCAGAGCCTCATATTCTAAGAGTATGGCTTCCACATGAAAACCGACCAGGCCTAGCTATGTCTAGGGCTTTTGGTGACTTTGTCCTTAAAAGCTACGGTGTCATTGCAATCCCTGAAGTCTCTATGCATCAAATCACTTCTCGCGACCAGTTTCTGCTCCTTGCTTCTGACGGGGTACGTATATACAACCCCATGAGGATAACAGGACCGACCAAATAATCTGAATTAAATTCGCATATGTTTTCTCTTTAATTAGGCTCATTTATTTAAGGCATTTTTCTATTACAAACTATAGCCTAAATTTAGAATTACAACTGAACAGTATGATCCATGTGTATAACGATCTTCTTTTGTCTCATGTGTGTTGTAAAGGTGTGGGATGTACTTAGTAACGAGGAAGTGGCTAAGGTGGTGATGAAGTCTGTGAATGAGACAGAAGCGGCCAACGCGGTGACAGAGGCAGCGGCGAATGCGTGGAAACAGAAGTATCCAACCGCTAAGGTTGATGATATCACTGTCGTGTGTCTCTCTCTGAACAAGAGACATGCTCCACAGCCTCGTATATGATTTAAACAAATTCTCTTGCGAGAAAAAAAAATAAAAATAAAGACTAATCAAAGATGGATGCCACGACAGCTTAGAGTTCTATTGTTTTGCATATGAGTGTGACCGAATGTGAATATATCTATATCTACCGTTATTAAGTCGTGTGACTATCTCTATTACCTAGAAACGAAATTACAGAGATGTTATATTGTTATGAGTGGTGTGTGTCGTGAGATGGAGGCAACAAGGACGTTGACATTTTGGACACACGTCATGGGAATCTATGTATAACTATTGGACTTTTGAAGCTAATAATGGAATAGTTCAATTATTTTTTGTTACCAAACTCTTATGTCAATGTTATATCAATTTGATTATAACATCTAAGCAAAGATGATACTGATTCACTGGCTTGTAGCTCACTTCCACCTGGTCCTTAAAGGCTTAGAGCTACTCTTCACCGCAGTGCTTAAAACATGATTAATCCTAGTCTCTTAACTGTAGTTCTTAATTCATGATTTGCCATATTTTTTTTGTTTATTTACACTTTTCGACTAAGAAACCGCTGGAATATCCAAAAAGGGTAGTATATATATGATTTAAATATATGTAGTTAAAATATAAAATTTTAATACTGACAAATTTAAAATTTATATATGATTTTTTTTATGGATTTGAAATTTTAGAATTTTGGAAATTTTATATAATTATCTAACGTAGGATCAAAAACAATTGTAATTAGAACTGTAGATCAAATCTTAGAATTTAATGGACCCGATTTATATATCTTTTCACTTTTCGGTGTTCGACTGATGGAAAATAAACAGAGTGTCATTGGGCTTGATTGGTAGAATATTAGCAAGTTCCCTAGTGTTTTTTAAGAAGCAGTTGGTAAAATATTTGCATTTAAAATATGTAAAGTTTCAAAACTAATTTAATATAATTTATTTATTTTTCTAATAATATTAGAAAATTATATTTTTTACAAATTAGATTTTTAAAATAATTTATATAAAATTAAGTTAAATTTTAAATTATTTTTAAAAATAATTATTTAAGTTTTTCAAATACAAATAAACAATTTAAAATTAATTATGGTCATGATTTAAAATAACCATATTGATTTAAAAAATAAAAGAATTTAAAAGTTAACAAACTAAAAATTAACTCAGTTTTATATCATGATTTAACAATTTAAAAATTAATTATGGTTATGAGAAGTTTATGTTCACGTGTCAATCCTATTTATCTTCAATTTTTCTCTTGTTGTGTTTTTTATATTTTTTTTATTATTTGATATATGAAGTTTATTCTCATTTCGTTTGTTTGTTTTGACCTGAGATTTAGAAAATACTTAAGATTTAAAATAATTAAAGATATACATACTTAGGTTAAGATCTGCAATTTATGCACAATAATTATTTTATATTTATTATTTATTTTATATTTTTATGCATATTATAAAATAATAAAATAATAAATATAGATATTAAATAACTAAGAAATCAGTTACTATTATGTATTAAATTGGCTAAGCATATAAATTTAACTATCACTCATGTTTATTCGCAATTAGGATAAATAAATCAAAATAATCAATCTTATATATTGTATATGATATATATTTAAATTAAATGATATAAACATAGTAATATAGCACACTTTTAATATAGATATTTATTAAATGAATTTTCTACTTATGTGATGTTATGATTATTTGCATATTTGTGTAATAAAACTTTACAACAACGCATTTTTTAATGTGAGATGTTTAGTAGTTTCAATTTATAATCATTTTTTTTTAAAATGACATATTTCAACATTAAAATATTAACTTTTCAATATATGTTCAAGGCAAATATCAAAATATAAGTATATATTTTCATACGATGTATAGTTTAATTAAAACGATATGAAATATATATAAACTAAAATTATTTCTTCATATGGTATTATAATCATTATATTTTAAGGGGTTTTTGCAGAATTGACCTGAAACTTGAAGTCAACCACAAAACTAACCTCCTTTTTTTTTGGAACTTTATTTTGCCCAATTCACCCCACAAGTTCATATAATTCACGAAAATGCCATCAATTTTTTTTTTTTTTTGGTTTCGAAAATAACATATTTACTCTCTCACCCTCATCATCTTCAAGTAATTACAAGATTGCCATTGTCATCAATACTCCAACAACCATGAACAA